AGAGGAAAAATACTGGATATGGTGATATGGGTATAGTTACGTGGGATTGTGGTAGTGGTGAAAAACATATTCATGTGTACTTCTGTATGGATATGTATATCTATCTATACATCTTTATATTTATATATATACCTATATATCTATATATTTATATATGTATACCTCTATGTCTATATATTTATATATCTATACATCTATATATTGTATTAGAATATATCTGTATTCTATATATGTATACCTATATATCTATATGTTTAATATTTTATATATATCTATGTGTTTAGATATCTATGTATTTATATATTTATATATTCATGTATCTATATATCTGTTATCTATATATTACTAAATCTATATTTCGATTACCAATATATCACCACATCTATTCATTCTATCTAAACAATAGTAAAAACCACTCCCCTCTCCTTCATATTTCTATCTTCTTCTATTCAGTCCTAAAAAGCACTCTCACCCTCCTCCTCCTATCTCCTCCTCCTTCCTTCCTCCCCCCCCTCCTCCCTCCCCCTCCCTCCCTCCTCCTCCTCCCCTCCCTCCTCCCTCCTTCCCCCCTCCCTCCCTCCTCCTTCCTCCTTCCTCCTTCCTCCTTCATCTCACCTTCACATGGGCCTTCGCCACATCCCGGACGTCGCAGATAGGGAACTGCACCCGTGGCACTCCAGGATAGGCTCTGTTGACGATCTGTGCCATGAAGTTGACCGAGGTGGCACTCTTGTGGGATTCGAGCAGCGGGGGGCCGAGAACGAAGGTCGGGTTGATGACTGCCAACTCGAATTTCTGGTCGTCTGGTTGTTGGGGGGGGGGGGGGGAAGGGAGAGAGAGAGAAAAGGGGGGATTATTAGTTGGTTTTGTGGTGGGTGGAGAGAGAGGGAGAGAGAGGGGGGAGAGAGAGAGAAAAGGGGGGTTGTTAGTTCTGGTTTTTTTGGTTTTGTGGTGGTGGGGAGGGGAGGGGGGGAGAGAGAGAGAGGAGAGATGGGGGGAGAGAAAGAAAAGGGGGGGATTATTAGTTTGGTTTTGTGGTTGATTATTAGTTTGGTTTTTTGGGTGGTGGTGTTGGGTGGGAGGGAGGGAGAGGGAGAGGAGAGGGGGAAAGAAAAGTTTTTTTTAGTTGGGTTTTTGTGGTGGGTGGGAGAAGGGAGAGGAGGAGAGATAGAGAGGGGGAGAGGAGAGGGTGGAAGAGGGAGAGGGGGATGGAGAGGGGTGAGGAAGGAAGGAGGGTGGTAGAGGGAAAGGAAGGAGGAAGGAGGGAAGGAGGCGAATAGGATGATAGATTAGATGATATGTAATTCCTTTATAATATCCAAAAACTAAAAAATAGATCTTCCCCATAAAGCTTCCTTTCATCTGGCAATTCCTTCACAAACTTCCATACAATATATAAATCCTTCTCTTTCACTTAGTAGTTACTTTAAAAAAAAAAAAAACGAAACCTAGAAAAAAAGTAGGCCTTTCTCTTACCAGATTGTCTCTTTCAAAATCCAAGAATCTCGAAACCGAAAAAAGAAAAAAAAAAAAAAATAAAATTGCAGTTTCTTTACACATCCCTCCCTCCCCATCCCACCTTCCCTTCCCACCCCTCCCTCCTCTCACCTGGCAGCTCCTTGACGAAATCCCAGCGGCTCCCTCCCCATCCCACCCTTCCCCTTCCCTTCTCCCCCTCCACCCTTTCCCTCCCCTACCTCCTCCCACCCTCCCTTCCTCTCCCCCCCCTCCCCTCCCTACCCCTTTCCCTCCCCTCTCCTCCTCCCCCCCTCCCTCCTCTCACCTGGCAGCTCCTTGACGAAATCCCAGGCGGCCTTAACAAACCCCTTCCCTCCTCCCTCTCCCTCCCCTCCCTCCCCTCAAAAGCCCTTCTCGCCCTCCCCCCCCCACCTTCCACCCTTCCCTCCTCCCCCTCCCCCCTCAAATCCCTCCCCCTCCCTCCCTCCACCCTCCTCCCCCCCTCTCCTTCCCCTCTCCCTCCTCTCACCTGGCAGCTCCTTGACGAAATCCCAGGCGGCCTTCTCAGCCACGACCTTGGACTTGGTGTAGGCGTCAATGTCGTACTTTCGGGGTCGGTCCAGTCCTCTTCTGTGTACGTCTTCTCGGCCTCTGGCACTGGCTCTCCTGTGGGTGTGGGGGGGGAGAAGAGGGAAGAAGGGGTGGGTGAGTGATTGTGGGGTGGAGAGTTGTGGGGGGGAGGGGGGGGGTTGTAGTGGGGGTGGGGTGAGAGTTGGAGGGTGTAGGTGGGGGTGTGTGTTGGGTGGGGTGTGTGTGTGGGGGTGAGTGGGGGTTGGGAGGGGGGTTGCCTATCTAATGTGGGGGGGGGTGTATATGGAGGTATAAAGTGGGGGTGTAATATATGTAGAAGGAAGGGGGAGGGATGGTGTTGTGGGGGAAGCGAGGTGGGGTTGCCTCTCTAATGTGGGGAGGGGTGTATATGGAGGTGTAAAGGGGGTGTAATATGTGTAGAAGGAAGGGGGAGGGGATGGGTTATGTGGGG